AAAAATGCTTTGGATGCAGTTTAAAAAAATAATCCTGTTAGAACACTCCTCTTTCATGTTTATTTCAAGTCCTACAGAGTAAGACAGCTGAAACCCATCAATCCAAAATCCTATGTGCCAATTTCATTAGCTATTCTACAACAAATTAATTACAGCTCTCAAGTGAGTGCTTCAGAAAGAGCCCCTTTTATCAAAGAAACTTACCGATTCAAGCTGCTTCCAGGAGTTTTCAATATGTTGCTGCGCCTTGCGTCCATCATGAAAATGCTAAAAAACAAAAAGGGAAAAAAGAATATTAACTAAATGCTCACAATCCCCCTCACTGCCTAAAGGTCAAGTCAGTTCAATCTTCTTTATACTGATGAATTCCCTCTAGAATTTGTCCCTGCAACACACTGGCAGATGATCAATGACAGATGAAGTTCCTCTATTGAAAGATGCATTGAACAACATGAAATCCAGTTATTTGTATCTTCTTTCTACAATTTCTGCTTTCCAGGATCAAGAAGGCAACACATGCCACCAGCTTTACACAAACTATAGTTCTCACTTGAAAGCAGAGCACCACTTCTTAGACTGTAAACATATCATGTCAAGACAATATAAATAAACCCCACATCACAAAACAAAATGCAGGAAATTCATTCATTGTTTAGTACATACCCCCCACCAAAAAGCCTGTGTTTAGTAATGTAAGATTTTTACCAAAATATAAATTGAGCACTTTGGTTTATATGTATAAATCAATTATCTGGCACAGATTATAGACTACAGAGGCCAATCAGAAACAGAAGACATAACGTCATTGTCTAAAATATGAGTTCCTTAGTGTGTGGGTGAGGAAACCAAAATGAGATCAAGCATACCAGCTACATTTCATTATATACTGGATACTGTCATCCACAGTGAATATTGTTTTACATACATTCTATATAAGGGTATCTCCTGAATGATGGAACCATTTCAAGAAATCCAAGCTAGTAGGTCAGAAATTATTACTAATGAGGGGCATCCTTGGATTTGTAAGCAGACACAAGGGATATGGCCTCTGCGTGTCTTAACATGCATGCTATTTTCAAGAAAAAAACAGAAATAAGATTAAATGAGCCCATCTGTCTATAGTGATATAGAATATTGGCTGTCCCAACGCAACGATGATTTCCAAGCTATTATTGATCTAAAGGCACAGAGTCTTTTGTTTGCAGTTCTAACTGTAGACAAGAAAATTGATTTTATTCAGCTGGATAGACACTGAAACAGTCTTGCAAGAAGGAAATGTGGCTAGATTACCGTTTGTTCGTGTAAAACCTGTGATAACATGCTCAAGCGCATTCTTAAGAACGTGAACCTTTCCCCCTTCTCCCTTTTTTGTGTGTGTTCCCTACGTGTTTTGTTTTGCCCTTGTTATCTTCAATTGTTTCAAAATTAACAGAAACAAAATGCAAAAAAAAGTAACATTACTCAATACAACGTCACCTGTGTGTTTGCAAAAGACCTATTAGAAGCATGCCAGTTATTGCAGCTCAGCAAGAATTCTATTTATGCAATACCAGGCTCTCATTTACTGGATCTTGTAATACACCTGTAAAGGAAATATTAGGCCATTCAAAGCTTCCTCTGCTGGCAGCATACAGACAGGCCAAGCTTGTTTGTGACTCACCATCTACTACCATAATGAATAATTGTTTTCCATTCTGCCGATGCAGCAGTACAGTGTTACAGTATATGTGAACCAATGTTTAATTAGAATGGAAGATATGTCATACTCTCTTGTTAGCATGTGTCTTTATTGTTGTAATAAGGGCAGGGCACCAGATCGCACCCTGAAAGCAGGAGCTGTTCCCTTGCTAAGCTGCTGCTCTCAATGTGGGTTCTTCTGCAGTACAGCATTGGAGCTGAAAGCACTGCAGATTGGTAGCCAAGGCAGCTCCCCCGCCAGGCTCACATATTGCACAATGGAAAAGCGCAGCTGCCATTTTTGCCAGATTCACTAAACATGAGAGATTTCTTAAGGAGTCACTCCAATCATGTATTTTTAAAAACAATGTAATTACAAAGCAAAAGCTTATTCTGATGGAAAACGTTGCCTGAATCTGCAAGGCAAGTTATTAATTCAAAATAATGAGACATGTCTTACAAGGTACACAAAGGCAAGACGCTGTTACTGAGGACCTTTTAAGGAAATGTTAACATAGGACAAACCTTTTTCTTTGGATAACAATCTGTTTTTAGTTTGACACATTCCTTTTCATAGATGTTATTATAAGTAACACAATGGGAGAAACAAACAATCCAAAAATAAATTGCATATAAAAATAATTTAAATTAATAGAACAAAACAAAATTGTAACATGTACTGTGAAAGTTGTCAATAACAGCACACATCATGCTATCCCGTGCTATTCAATATTAAGCTCTTAAAGACTGGAAAAAAGGCTGAATCTGCAAGGAAACAGAGCTGGTCTTCCACTGAATGGGAAGCGCATGCCCTGTAATTTCCATTGGCAGTTGCTAGAGCCAATGGCTTTATTTTGCAGCAATACATTCTTAAATGCACACATGTAGAGCATAATTAGAGGGAACAAAGTCTCCCATTAATTACTGAAATCACATGTTTACTGTAGCATTTTTGTTCACTGTTGTTAAATAATGCTATTTCACCCACAATCGTGGCAGATCAAATCTTTAATGGCAAATACTTAGTATTGTACATTTTTAATTTCTTTTGTAGCAATATTTATTCATGACAGAAGATGAACAACTGTCTTAAATCAAGATCAGACAAAAAACATGAGATGAGCAAGTTAATTTAATCCCATAAAAGCTAACTGGTGAGTATACTGTACATGCACTAAATATGTTTACACTGTAAGAAAGAAGATTTAAGCTACAGTGAGATCCAACAATAGAAAAAATGTTTTTAAGCCCTGCTTATTATTGCACTTTTAAACAGCACACCACATTGTGTGCACAATTAGTTAAGAGGTCAAAAAGAATTTCTCAATGCTTAGAAGAGGAATATGTGACATCACCCTGATAAGCAGAAATACTCAGTTGAAAAAATATTATTCACCATGACAACCTTTACTACGCAAGATTATGCTAAATAAAAACAAATGAATCAGCGAAAAATAAAGGATACGTTTCAGCTGAACTTGAAGTGTAGATGCACTCTTGTAAAACTAAAAAACAGTTTTAAAACAGGTGATAAGAGACACCACCGTCCACACCAACGGAAAAACGTTTCTCAACCATCTTCACACTGAATTTTAGCTCATTAATGTGAACCAACATATAACCATACAACAGAAAAATCTTACATTAACTCAAAATGGAGTATAAACAACAAGGTTATCACATCTTTACTAAACTGACTCTGTTCTTGAAATGTCATGACACCTCTGGCAAAATCCCACAGCACAAACTTGAAATACTTGGAGTAGACCCCTACCAACGCTCCCTGCGCTATTAATAGTGCAAAGAGCTCAAGCTCTAGTGCAAAGGACCTGATATTACAGCGAGCAACAGCTGGGAGCCGATTAAAAACACTGCACCCAAACTACCAGAAAACCAGCTGCTGCAGAAGAGTTAAAAATTAATTTAAATGTACTCTGAATACGGCACAAAATAGTTTTAAAGTTCTATTACTACAGGCACCTGGGAAGTATAAATCACAAAAAAACACAAGCACTCCCTGATTGATGTTATTGGAAACAAGATTCAGCTGAACATTTCTTATATAGCTAATAAATAATTCGAAAAAATAAGACATAAAACGTCAATTACGATAATGTACCAGCCAGCGCTGAAATGCTGGCAGCATTCCTGATGTGTGATTACATTTCCGAGGGCACACTGGACATAGTTGTGTTGTTTTCCTTTTTTTGACAAGCCCGTAACAAAAGGACACAATGATAAACTGAAAAGGCGGCCATAAAATCCACATCTATCCAACGTGTCCCACCACAACCAGATGGTGCTGTTAGCGTCACGAATGGGCCCCAGTCTTCAGTGGAGGGATGCTAATTAGACCCTATGCGGTGCGGTGTAACCCGGGACAAACAGGAGACAGACATCAGGGAAAACACACAAGGGTTTATTCGCAAAGACAGCGCTCAGTGACAACAGGTGCTCCGGTGAATAGGGGAAAACAAGGCATCCAAGTACAAGCGAATCCATGGGGGCAAGTCAGGGCGCAGTCCAATAATCCTAAACCAGGCGATCCATCCAACCAGACAGACACAGGGAAATCAGGAACAGTCCAAGAACATACAGGCTCAGGGGGCGTGATGCCTCTGGCAAGCCCTATGCCCCCAGACGACTCTGGTTCTAGGTGGGCCTCTGGACATCCGTGTCCTAATGCTGAGCCCTGAGTATCAGAAGGTCTATGCTTATACAGTATATCAACACTGATTCTTAACACCTGGAAATAATACCAGCAATCAAACTAGGACTCTGGAATTTGGAGCGCCCCCTAGGTGAAAGGATGCAAAACCCCAACAGTAAGGTAGTGCATAGCGAATACACTTCCAGATGATATGAACAACCAAAGCACAGAGCAGCAGCCATACTGGCAAAAGGTCAGGTTTACAGATGGGGACTAGGCAGTCTTGCAGTTGTTTTGTTTTTTCAATTACCTAATACATAGCAATGTTTCTCAAACTTCGTGAAACACTTACACTGGGGCCACTCGACAGGAGCTGAACCAACACTCACAGGTTAGTCAGCTGTGAAGTGGTAAATAACCTCTCTGTGACATAACAAAATAAAAAGCAAGTATTAAGCAGAACTGACATTCTGGTTAAAAACAGGCATTTTGGACATCATAGTATTTAGGACCTAGCCACTCATAAAATGCAAATGGGAGTGTACTGTAAATGTAGAAGTATCAAAACATTTTAATTTGCGTACTGTGCTACTGTGACAACTAGAATTATTACAGTATGTATTTTCTTTATTAGTTCCACTGGGTTTCTGCTTTTAAGAAAAAAACCATAGCAGATTTAACCATCTCATCAGCATAACTTGACTCTCAGAGGCACATACTGTATACCTATTATTTGTGAAGTGCTCAGAGACATTCTGTGGGTTGACTTTACTTAGTTTGAAGCAGTTTAGGATTGTGTACTTGTAAGGAGCATTGTGTTAATTTGCATTACTGTATGTCATCCATCTTTTGGTGAAAAAAATTATCTCAGCAAAGGAAATAGTTTGAGTAGATAATTTGTGTTTTGTTTTTAATGGAAGTATTGTAAAGACTGACAGAA